TGTTTCATTTGACTTCTCTCGAGTGTTTGACCAACCCTGGTCTATTTACTATGAATTCTAATTTGGAGTGAAATTGAAATGTTTCATTTGACTTCTCTCGAGTGTTTGACCAACCCTGCTCTATTTACTATGAATTCAGAGAGACTGGGGGATTTCATTATATATATATACACTATTTTTTTGGGTTCTTGGCTGTCTTATCTTCATTTTTGTATCCTTAATTATCCTTCTTTGTTGCTGACATAAATTTTTTTGCTTTGTCAAATAAGGAAGGGAGTGGTTAGCATTATTCTAACTAACAATATTATTGATATTGAGTATCTGGAGATTCTAATCGAGACGCATTTCAGTCTTCAAATTTTATTCTACTTTATGTTTTAAATTGAGAAGCAATGTTGTCTGCATTGTTTAAGTTGTACTATCATTAAAACTAGTTTTAGACTTCTATGTTTGGTATATCATAGTTTTAGTTTATAGGCTGTTTGAAGCAGTGCATTTTTTTTTCAAAAAAAAGAAATTATCTCCCAATTTTGGTGGTTCCAGGTGTTATTCTTTCATTTTCATTCACCCAGGGTTGTCCATTTAGGATGATTATGTGATGTTAAAAGGGATTTTAGTATGAAAATGAAATATTTAAAATGGGAGCTTAGTGAATAAGGGAAAACATATGCTACTACTTATCTTCCTTGTCATTCATATTTGTGCTTTTTATCAACAGGTAAGCACAGTGGACACTTGATAAGCATGGGTGCCTGTGGTCCTGTGCAACTATAAGTTTTATTTTTCCCCCCAATTATATTTTGTGGTTGGACCTGATTATGAGTGTTTTCTGGTCCAGCTTTATGAGTACCAATTCAATATGGGACTTCTCTTGATTGAGAAAAAAGAGTGGAATTCTAAGTATGCTGAACTAAGTCAATATTTAGTAGAAGTGAAGGATGCTCTAGAGCGAGAAAAAGCTGCTCATTTAATTGCTCTATCCGAGGCAGAGAAGCGAGAAGAGAATCTGAGGAAGGCATTGGGTGTTGAGAAAAAAGAGTGTGTGCTTGATGTAAGTATTTTCACCAATATGTTTACATATGAATTAAATTCTTTAATAAAAACTGCATGACTCGTGTATGAAATACGGTTATTTCGTACTATTAAATTTAAAAATTTATGTGTCAACAGCTTGAGAAGGCTCTGCGAGAAATGCGGTCAGAACATGCAAAAATCAAATTTACAGCAGACTCAAAGTTGGCCGAAGCAAATGCTTTAGTAGCTAGCATTGAAGAGAAATCTTTAGAAGTAGAAGCCAAATTACGTTCTGCTGATGCCAAATTTGCATAAATCAGCAGAAAGAGTTCTGAGTTCGATAGGAAATCACAAGACCTGGAGGCTCAAGAATCTGCACTTAGAAGGGATAGTTTATCCTTGATTGCAGAGTAAGTTATTAAAATTGATTAAATTTTTTTTTTTAAATAAAAGGGTATAATGGTCAAGAAAAGTGGAGATCAAGGTGGTTACTACAAAGGATATCCCCTTTATATATTAGTATAGATTAGTATAGATTTATATATTAATATAGATTAGTATAGATACATAAATAAACTTCATAATAAAGTAATATATATATATATATATAAATATATAAATTATTATTTAAAATTTACATAAATAAATATATTTAAACATATAAATAATATTTTAAATTTATGATAAAGAACTTATATCATGATATATGATTATTTATAATTATTAATAATTTTTTTAAAATGTTAAAATTTAATTTATAAATAAACATGATAAATAAAAATTAAAATAGATCAAAATTAAAAAAAAACTGTCATAAAAAAGAATATTAAAAAACCTAATTAAAAATAATTATTAAAAAATAATTATTTATATTTAATATATAAGAGTTAATTATGTATGAGTATAAGTAAAAAAGAATATTAAAAAACCTAATTATTCGTGTCTTGTCCACTCCGTGCGTGCATTATATTAAAAGAAAAATATTAAAATAATGAGAAATTACTCATAAAAAGGTAGTTATTAAAAAATAAACAAAGAATAAAATGATTAATGTAAAAATAGAAACTAAAAATAATTATTGAAAGTGATATCTCATTTATATATTAGTATATAAGTATAGATTCATTAGTTTCAAGTTATTAAATTTGATTATAAATTTTTTTTATAATTTTTTATGAACATAATCAAAAATATCCCCAGTCATAAAAATACGAAATGAACATAAATCCGTAACATAAAAATTAGGGTTAGTCTAGAGAGAAAACGCGGGAGTAATTTGTGACACCCTTACTACCCCAACACATATATTGTAATAATGAAAACTTACAAATAAATTTTTCAATTTCGGTAAAAGGGTTCACATGAGAATCTTCAAAATTATCCTTCAATAACCACAATAATAAAAATGAACGCAAGAGTTTATAAATTGTTTTCAAAAAATGGCATTTACAATTCCAAATCCAAATAAAAACATATGTTCTAAAAATCCTCTGCCCCGATGTCACAATATTAGAGCATCCCCACAATTCAACTGTTGACATACTAGATGCCACTCGAAGCATGATCTTCCTCACCTAAAACATCCACAATTTGTACGGTCAGAAAAGAAAACATCTATGTATATAGCACATAAGAAAACACAATATATTATCTCATTATAATTTAATATTCATAAATATTTTAACATATTGTATTTCAATCAATCATGCATTATCATCACGTCATAATTCTCAATCACACATAAGAAAACACAACATATTATCTCATTATAACTAAATATTCATAAATATTTCAACATATCGTATTTCAATCAATCATACATCGTCATCACGTCATAATTCTCAATCACACCAATCATCACAAATCTTGCACTTCACACTATGCCAAGGTCACGCTACCCATTTAACAATCTCGGGCCGTGCTCACCCCTGATATAATACTGTGCCAAGGTCATGTTATCCCTATCCTAGGGCCGTGCTCACCCCTGACATGTTAACCAAGGTCACGATACCCACGTAACAATCCAGAGTCGTGCTCACCCCTGATATAACACTGTGCCAAGGTAACGTTATCCCTAACCTAGGGCCGTACTCACCCCTGACATGTTAACCAAGGTCACGATACTCATGTAACAATCTCGGGCCGTGCTCACCCCTGGTCATAGGTGTGAAGAACCACAACCACATCTCATTCACATTCCACACAACATCTCAGTTCAATTCCATACACATATTAGATAAGTCCAAAATAATGGGTTTCATACATATCAAGCAATTCACATTTAAATCATCAATTTTTATCAAATAATATAACAATGATATCCATAAATTAATATAATAATCAATAGAATTAGCCATTTAATATAATTTCAGCATAAACAGTAAAACCCCTAATTGTTCCAAAACCTAGCTCACAGACACTTTTCTACAATTTCATACATAGATCGATCTCAACCTCCTAACCCCTCATTGGCTATAGAACAGCTGAAGGCCGAGATGTTGGAGTTGAAGAGACTTTCGGTCTTGAGAAAGGAGAACGTGGAATTAAGGAGTGACAACCGATCCTAGCATCCATCCCACGGCACCCCTAATACTTTGTCAACAAGAGATCAGGGAGAGTCATCAGGATGGTATAAAGAAACAAGGGCCCCCCGGCCGCCCGGTGGTGCGACGACGACAAAAATGGATCAGCAGCGAAGGTAAGGGAAGACGTCGTTCACTCCAGACATTTCCAGGGCCCGGTTGCCCGACAACTGGAAAAACTTGGCCCTGGAAAAGTACGATGGAACCACCGACCCAGAAGAACACCTCGATGCATTCGTCACTCAAGTCGGTTTGTACACTGACGACGATGCTATCATGTGTAAAGTCTTCCCAACCTCATTGAAAGGACCGACACTCAATTGGTTCACAAGACTCCCACCCGGATCAGTAGACTCGTTCACAACCTTATCTTCCCGGTTCGTAATAGTTTGCCACGAGCCGTCCTCATCAACTCACCTCAATCGCATTGGTCAACATTCGCCAAGAAAAGAAGGAACCTTTAAGAACCTTCATGGAAAGGTTCGAAAAAATGACGCTCTCAATCCAGACTTGGACCCGGCTGTGGCAATGCATCACCTTACTACAGCACTAAGGCCCGGGCCCTTCGTGAACAGCTTATGTAAGAAGCTGCCTCGGGATTTGGACGACCTGAGGCAGAGGGCCACAAAATACATGCAAATAGTGGAATTGGCCGAGTTTCAAAATCAGAGCCGACCCGATCTTTTCCTCGGGAAGAAAGAAAGTGACAAGGAGCACCCTAGATCTCGTCCCCGAGACGTACCCGACCGCGAGAAGAATAGAGGGCCAAGATACGCGCAGTACACGCCGCTTAACACCAGCAGGGCCAAGGTGTTGGAGCAAGCCTTAGCCACAGAGGTCCTAGTTGTACCCTGAAGAGCCATGACTCCGCCCCAGGCAAATAAAACTAAAGCATGCCAGTTCCACAGAAATCGAGGACACACTACCAAGGAGTGCTCTACCCTTCGAGATCGCATTGAAGACCTCATTAAAGTTGGGCACCTTCAAAGCATCGTTCGACCTTCAGACGGAAGAAAGCACGACTACCACACTGGTAGGAGGGAGTATAAAAGGGAGAACCGAGACAGAGCACCTCCAAGGGACAGATCTCGTGAACGTAGCCGGTCTCAAGAAAGAAACAATCAGCAATGAGACCGGAATCAACCCAGACGGGTAATAAACACCATTGCGGGAGGATTCGCAGGAGGGGGGAGTACGTCTTCAGCCAGAAAGAGACACTTGAGAGCAATCAAGTCGGTCAACGCCGTAGGCCGAGTAGCTTCAATCCATATGCCCCCTATTACATTTACCGATCGAGACTTTCAAGGTGTCGACCCAGTTCAAGATGACCCGATGGTCATCAGTGTGGAGATCAACAACTATATTGTGAGGAAGACGCTTGTTGATCAAGGAAGCTCAGCGGATATCTTATACTGGAAGACATTCGAGCAACTCGACATTCCTGAACAAGAGTTGACACCTTATGATGAGCCATTGGTGGGATTTTCTGGCGAACGGGTGGACACTAGGGAACGATAGACCTATATACATACTTTAGGGACGACCAACAAAGACGAAGGACTAAAGTACGATACATTGTGGTGCATGCTAACACCTCGTACAACAACCTGTTTGGCTGACCCTCCCTGAACAAGCTTCGAGCCATCGTTTCCACTCCCCACCTAGCTATGAAGTTCCCCTCCAAGGAGGGAACGAGCATCACTTTAAACGCAGATCAAAAGACGGCCCGCGAATATTACTTCGCCAGCCTTAAGGTACAACCCACTTTGAAGCCGAGCCGAGATGTCAATGTCATCGGCGATGTCGGCCAAGATAATTCGATTGAAGACCTGGAACTTGACCCTAGAGTGGAAGATGAGCATAGGGTCGAACCAACAGAAACAACGATCCCGTTTCAACTCGAAAGAAATGAAGGACAGGTCACTTATCTGAGTTCCAAATTGACGGAAGCCAAGGCAAGAGACATCAAGCAAGTCCTACTGAAGTATTCAGACCTATTTGCCTGGACAGCAGCAGACATGTTGGGCATCGACCCGAACTTCCATTGTCACTGGCTCTCAATATGCCGAGACGCCAAGCCCATCGCACAGAAGAAAAGAAAGATGGGAGGAGACCGGGCCCAGGCAGTAAGAGAAGAGACAACCAAGCTACTTCAAGAGGGATTCATCAGGGAAGTCAAATACTCCACATGGTTGGCCAACGTGGTGATGGTCAAGAAGGCAAACGACAAATGGCGGATGTGCACGACTAATACCGATTTGAATAAGGCATGTCTACCCCACATTGATGCCCTGGTTGACGGAGCGGCTGGCCATCAAAGACTGAGTTTCCTTGACGCATACTCAGGGTACAACTAGATACCCATGTATCCGCCTGACGAGGGAAAGACGACATTCATCACTGATTCGGCTAACTTTTGTTACAAGGTAATGTCATTCGGTTTAAGAAATGCTAGCACGACCTATCAGCGACTCATGGATAAGATTTTCTGTCAGAAAATAGGAACATGCTTGGAAGTATATGTGGACGACATGGTGATCAAGTCTACCTCGACTGACGACCATCCGAAAGACCTTCGTACGATTTTCGACGAAGTAAGATGGCATCACATGCGGCTGAACCCGGCTAAATGCACTTTCAGGGTTGCCGATGGAAAATTCTTGGGCTTCATGTTGTCAAGAAGAGGTATAGAGGCCAACCGTGACAAATGCCAGGCCATCATCAATATAAGGAGCCCCCATAGTATAAAGGAAGTACAGCGACTGGTCGGCTGCATCGCTTCCCTGACTCATTTTCTACCCTGCATGGCGGACAAATCAAGACCCATAATGTCTTTATTGAAGAAAGCAACCAAATTTCAATGGACCGAAGAATGTGAATCAGCTTTTTGAGACTTCAAAACGATGCTCGCAGCTCCACCGTTGTTGACCAAGCCGAATCCCCAGCTAGATATGATAATATACATCTCAGTGTCGGACAAAGCCATCAGCACAGCCTTGGTGTAGGAAAAAATGAAGCAAATGTCGGTGTACTTCGTCAGTCGAGTATTGCAGGAAGCCAAAACGAGATATCAGCATCTCGAAAAGACAGTTTTAGCTCTTGTACACATAGCCAGACGCCTCCGAAACTATTTCCAGAGCCACCGAGTCCTTGTTCGAACGGATAGCCCAATAGTTAAGGTCTTACGGAAGCCTGAGTTGGCTGGTCAAATGGTTGCTTGGTCCATAGAACTGTCACAATTTGATATTCGTTTCAAACCAAGAGGACCCATCAAGGCACAAAGCATGGCCGACTTCATAAATGAATTCACCCCGCAAGTACTTCCCGAACCACACGTATGGACTCTACATGTGGACGGATCGTCAAACCAACAGGGTAGCAGAGCCGGCATTATTCTGGAAGGTCCTGGTAAAGTGGTGATTGAACAGTCACTACGATTCGGTTTCAAAACCTCCAACAACCAAGCCGAATACGAGGCCCTTCTCGTGGGCTTGAGATTGGCAAACGACCTGGGCATCACTAGAATCCAATGTTGGAGCGACTCACAAGTAGTGACAGGGCAAGTCAACGGCACCTTCCAAATCAAAGAACCAACACTACTTTTGTACTTTCATGCTTTCCAGAAGCTAAAAGGCGACTTTGAAGATATCCAAGTTAAGCACACACCTCGGGAACTTAACACAAGAGCATATCAGTTAGCTAAGCTAGCCAGTAGCAAAAAGACCAGTCATTTGCGCAGCATGATACAACAAGAACTGCAAACGCCAAGTGTTGGGGGAACCGGATGCCTGCAAGTTCAACAAGAAGACAATTAGATGACTGGCATAACACGCCACCTATCAATGGGAGAATTACCTAGTAATCCCCTCGAAGCAAGGAAATTAAGGGTCATTGCCTCTCGATACATGTTGATTGCAGGAGAACTGTACAAGCGGGGCGTTTCTTCACCTTTGTTGACATGCCTTGCACCTGAGCAAGCACACTATGTCCTCTGCGAAATCCATGAATGCGGAACACACTCAGGGGGACGAACCTTAGCTGCTAAAGTCATTCGATCTGGTTACTACTGGCCCACCCTCACGAGTGATTGCATGAAGTTCACCCAACAATGTAAGCCGTGTCAGCAACACGACCCGTTAACAAACCTACCGGTGAAAGACTTACACTTCATTACGACCCCCTGGCCCTTCTCGGTATGGGGTATGGATATCCTAGGACCATTTCCACCATCAAAAGGGCAAGTCAAGTTCCTCATGCTGGCAGTCGACCATTTTACCAAGTGGATCGAGGCGGAAGCAGTTGCCACTATTTCGGCCAACAACGTCCAAAAATTCTTTTGGAAGAACGTCATTACCCGGTTTGGTGTACCATACGCCCTCATCACAAACAACGGCCTACAGTTCACGGATCGTCGCTTCAATGAATTCCTCGATGGACTTCAGATAAAACATCGGGTAATGTCAGTGGAGCACCTCCAATCCAACTGCCAGGCAGAGGCGGCCAACAAAGTCATTCTGAGGGAACTAAAAAGGCGCCTTCGGACAAGCTAAGGGACAATGGCCTGATCACTTGCACGAGATTTTATAAGCCTATAGGTGCACTCCTCAGAGCTCGACCAAAGAAACACCTTTCCGGTTAGCATACGGAACCAATGCCATGATCCCGGTAGAGATAGGGGAACCCACCCTCAGACGACAACAATTCACTGAAGAATCCAACGGGGAAGCACTCAACGTAGAACTCGATTTGATTGAGGAAGCACGCGATCGAGCATTCATCAACATGGAAGCATGTAGAGCACGCGCTTCCCGAAAGCACAGGACCAAAATAAAGCCAAGAGAATTCCATCCCGGTGACCTTGTTTGGAGAATAGTGGGAGAAGCAAGAAGAGACAAAGCTCAAGAGAAACTAGCCCCTAATTGGGATGGCCCTTTCCGAGTGAGGCATAATCTCAACAACGGAGCTTACAAGCTCGAAGAACTCAATGGGAAGATCATCTCGCGAACTTGGAATGTCACGCATCTCAAGCATTATTTTAGTTAGCAAACATAATGTATTTATTTCGGGGCACTCTTTTCCTTTCCCAGGTTTTTCCCTCTTATAAGAATATGGAAGAGGTTTTACTGAGGAAAGGTTTTTAACGAGGCTCTACATCAATGAAACAAACCCTATTCTTTGAAGGAATCTTATATTTGCTTAATTTAACCTAAAAGCAAACACCTAATCCCTCCCGAGTACCTACTACTCGGCCAAGGATGAACAAAGCTTCCCTCCCGAGTACCTACTACTCGGCCAAGGATGAACAAAGTTTCCCTCCCGAGTACCTACTACTCGGCCAAGGATGAACAAAGTTTCCCTCTCGAGTACCTACTACTCGGCCAAGGATGAAAAAAGCTTCCCTCCCGAGTACCTACTACTTGGCCAAGGATGAACAAACCTTCCCTCCCGAGTACCCACTACTCGACCAAGGATGAACAAAGCTTCCCTCCCGAGTACCTACTACTCGGCCAAGGATGAAAAAAGCTTCCCTCCCGAGTACCCACTACTAGGCCAAGGATGAACAAAGCTTCCCTCCTGAGTACCTACAAAGCTTCCCTCCCGAGTACCTACTACTCGGCCAAGGATGAACAAAGCTTCCCTCCCGAGTACCTACTACTCGGCCAAGGATGAACAAAGCTTCCCTCCCGAGTACCCACTACTCGGCCAAGGATGAACAAAGCTTCCCTCCCGAGTACCCACTATTCGGCCAAGGATGAACAAAGCTTCCCTCCCGAGTACCTACTACTCGGCCAAGGATGAAACACTTAATAACTCCCAATTACCTACTACTTGGCCAAGGACGAACACTTGATCCTTATCGGGCACACCTACTCGGCGAAGGTTGAAAGAATCAATTCATCTCAAACAATTAAGCCCGCAAAACTCAAGTTACTCAATAACGAGTACTATCACCCGATCAAGTTAAGAGCAACCTTGAATGTTACAGTACGACGGTGTAAGTTATTTAAGTCACAACTGGTATTAGGATCAACAAAACCGAACCCGGACTAATGAATAAAAGAACCGAGATAGAATTCAAATGCATAAGACCTGACCTACCTTAATGAGTATTCGGCTCAGAGCAGTGAGGACTTCGGGGCAGTGTTTATTAGATAGGAAGCGTGAGAAAGAGGGTCACTTTACTACCATATATATAGAAAAATCCCCGGCAACTCAAAAGCCCCTCATAAATGTTTTTGGGAAACGAAAAGCCACCATCCCAGGACACGAAACCCTAGGTCAGCCAAGCATGCAACGGTCACAATCATCAAAGGGTACGACTCCCGAGATGTGTACGAAAACCCTAAATCTGCAAAAATTCACAGCACAAACCCCTTCGTCTTTCATCCTAGGGCTTGGGGGGCAGTGTGTACTAGTGAACACCCCCCTCGGTCGGACACTGGGCCGAGAGAATCACCTAAACCGATGAAACCCACTTACGCTACCCCTTCGTCTTGAGACTTGGCCGAATACCCCAT